TCAGTGAAAGCTATCGCTTACATGTAATACTCTAAAGCATTCAGTAATATCACTTAATTAATTGCACAATCTGCTTAACTCATAACTAGTATTTAGCCCATGCATTAGCACGGTATTTTTTTTATTGTGAATATTTTTGAATCAATGAAACACATAAATAATTCATCAACAATGTTTTTACATATTATTCCTATTTGCATCAGAAAATTATTGTATTCCAAACATTTAACTGCCACATTATTCTTTAGAAACATTTATAAGTAAATTTAGTAGAATGTAATAATGTTCGGTAAATCGTATAATGCATAAAAAAGAAATAGTAGGTACTCTTTGACATAGTAATTAAATTTTCTCATGAATATGATTTTACACATACTCATTTTCATTTTCCATTCAAGTAAAAAAGAGAATGCAGCAATTCATTTTTACATGAATGATTTATTACTTTATATCAAAATTAATAAATTAACCAATGTAACTACACACATATATATACACATACAAATATATATACATACTAACAATTATTATTCTCTCTTGCGTTTATATACTTTTCCTATTTAATCTTACCTACCATCCCTTATATTTATTTGCTTTCCCTAATTAATCTTATATTTTAAAAATATAACACCCGAAATATATTTTAAAGAGGGCACCAGTTAGACAAACCGTCATTAAAAAAGTAAGAAGTTGTTAAAGTGAGGGAAATTATGAATAAATTGATTGGAGGAGAGTTGGAAAAATGGGTAAAACACATGTATTGATTGACCAGTTAATTGTCTTCAATTAGGCATGTCATTTAGGACAAAGAAAATGGTTTATTGAAATAACAGCTTTCACACACACACACACACACATATATATGTATGTATGTATGTTATATGTAGGGATCATATCAAAAACCTCGCCAGAGGTTTATCTTAATATCACCTGGCATCCCTAAGGTTTTAAAAATATCACTTATCTCCCTTACTTTTATTATTTGTGTAACAAAATTTTTAAAAGCCCTAAACTAGAGAAACGATTTATAGTACAATAGGAAAAGAGGCTTTAATCGATCATATAAAGGAGTTGTTTAAATGTAAGAGTTGGGTGAGCTACTAATTAAACATAATTAATCAATATCCAGGAACTAAAAGTTTTTCGTCAATTTATAAAACTTGATCCTATAGTCATAAATTAGACAACACATAAAAATAGTCAAAATCTATATGGTTAAGCAAAATGACCTGCAGTGAAAATCTTCTATCTTAATCCATATAATAGATTTTCGGTCTTGGCCCATCAAGGCAGAAGTAGAGAAATAAAAAATGGGAAAAAATATCATAGGTTCCTAAAAGGAATGCTATGCCATGCGCTAAAAAATTGGGATGTTATAGTAAATTTGCACGTTTTCTTATATAATAGGTAGAAAACCCATTGGGCTCCAAAAGGACAACATAAGGGCACACTTTTTTGGTTTGACATGAACAAATGAACGAAAAAAAAAAGAAAAAAGATATGTAGTAAGAAATATTAGAATCATGTCACTTGTCAACCTATTAAAAAATCATATGCCAAGAAAGAAGGCAAAAAACTAAACTCCACTTTTTTCTTATATACAATGTAGATATATTTCAGCAATGCATGAGAAAATTCTAGAAAAATCTTCTGGGCTTGGCGCGCTATTTATATGAAGTTTTTTTTTTCCTTTTCCTGAGGGTCTATTTATATGAAGTTCAAATATATATTCCTTTAACTCCATAGTAATTTCCCGTAACAGCTGAGAATTTTACTCCTTTAGCTTCTAAATTTAATAGTAAATTTTCCAATGTTCAGTGCATATGCAAGTCCTCCATCAAATCTTGGATAATAATAAAAGCCTTGGGTTTGATGGGTTAAATGCCTATTTCTTTAATAAATATAAGTACATATTGATTACTATAATTTTATAGACATTTATGCGCATATACTCTTCTTACTATTATTGTGTATGAGATATTAAAACCATTACAACTTTATCTCACTATTGTCTTTATATTAACTAGTTTTTTCAGCCTCACGCGATGCGTGAGGATGCCCTGGGTCTATGTTAATCAATATCAAATGAAGGCAAGTGGATTAATGTAAAATTTTTATATATTAATACATGATAGTTGTTAAATAAATGTGGAGAATTTGACTTTATGTAAATTGAATGTTGCTGTTACTCATTTACTCATTTGATTTGTAATTTTCTCTTAAATAGTCAGTCAATACCTTAAAATCTTTGCGAATTCTTGATACTATAAATAAATGATCCATTCATTTGAAATGTACAATTACATACAAATATCATAAATATGGTGACGCTGATCACTTTTAAAATTATGCACACACTATTTGTATCTAGTCAAGAATGAAATAAGTTTAAACAAGTAAAACCCTTCTTGAAACTTATTGTGAATAAACACAATGGTGATATCAATAATTTAAAAGAACAATCATCACATTTCTACGCAATAAAAAATGTCAAGAAATTGAGAATTATTCATGATGTAGTAAAACGAATATGCTTCTAGTAATTGTAGTAAAAAATATCATATTGACAGGTGTAGTTTCTTGTAGTAATCTTTCCAATAAAACGCGTCTTCCCAAACTTCTTGCACTCATTGCAACAATTTTTGGGTGCAGACGTCATCATTTTTCTTCTTTGCATCTCTTTTTTTGTGCAGAGACCATTAATCAATGACGATGAACTTTTCCTTCTTTTCTTTTGTCAAGCATTCTTTGAAGTAGAACAAATTATAGTAATCTTGAGACATGCAACATGTAGTATATTTTACCTTATAACCTTAATAGCTAAATGGACCTTAACTACAATTTGAATCCCGTGAGGATGCCTGGATTTCCGCTTGAATTTGCTACGAAATATCTAAGTATTTGATTGGACTTGTTGCCAATTTCTGATACATTTGTGGGAATGCATTAGTAGGAGAATTACTTAGGAAGTACTAAACAATAGCTAGGAACAACCTGGAGAAATATATCATACTCAGATTCACTGCAATGTATTATCCCTATTTTCGCAAATGCAAAGCAATAGTATCCCTACATCTACAGCTAATCTTAGTAGGGACCATTCAATATTGATTTATAAATGACCAAACTACTTATTCGATTATCCACCAAACCGAATAGCTCCTATTCATAGCTTTCTATCTCACTGGTTTTTTTGGAGGAAACTACTTATTGATCTTATTTCGGAGAAGATTTGGAATTCAGAGACCTTATTCACTGCATGAGGTAGTCTTTTAAACCTTTGCCACTTTTTTGTATGTATTTTTCCTCAAAGTTTTTGTGGTACTTGCATGATTAGGAAATTAAACTATACTTTGATGAAAAAAACATGTGGCTTTGACCTACAGTATGTCAAAATCGCAAGCAATTGATAGATAGTATTCAATTTCTGGTTTCTTTATATATTTGGCTTGCAGATTTTTCTTGCTAAGCAGACCCAGAATTCTTGTACTTGTGCTTCAAACTTTATTGTTGTTGTAGTCAAGCAATGGTAATTTATGTGAAAAATCACCTAATTTTTTAGAGGATTGCTAATTGATTCCATTCTTGGTACTCTGGCCTTTTATTGTGGTCCTATAGTTCGACATATTAGTTTTCAGAAGGAAACAACAATCCTCAAAAGGTTTGTATCTAATTGTAATTTTAAGGGATAGCTGGATAATCCTTCTTCTTATCTTTAAACCCATGAGTGGGTTGTGGAACGAGCAAAATTTTGGTTCCCCCCCTCCCCGGGCCTACTTCTGGCATGATATATCAACATAGAGACGATATTGCCCGTCTCCTTGCATTCTTCTCTATATACGCTTCTTCTAAGTTTGCATATTTCCGTCGGCAACCCATTAAAAAAGCTCAGCTATACATAAATAAGAAGATTTCAATAAAAATGCATACCCAATCAAATTAGTAGTAGAAGGCAATTAATAAACAAATGAAAGATAGTTGTACGTCTAATATGCCAGTAAGAATCCATAACATATTCATTAACATGGCTCACTGAACTATTATAATCATGTAAACACTTCGACTCATTAAGCCTTTCAGTACAAGGACAAAACCACGGAAAGGTAGAAATAAACCACAGAGCTCACCTTCTAAAATCAGACAATGAAACCTTTCAATTGGGAAGAAGGGTTGCCTGTGAGGGAAAAAGAAATACAAAAAAGTGGCAAAGGTTTAAGCACAGAATGGTGCGTAAAAAATCAGGAAAACCAAATACGTGCATGGCATATCTTTAGAGCTGTTTATAAACCACAGAGCTCACCTTGCAAAATTAGACAATGAAAGCTTTCAATTGGGAAAAAGGGTTGCCTGTGAGGGAAAAAGAAATACGAAAAAGTGACAAAGGTTTAAGAACAGAATGGTGCGTAAAAAATCAGGAAAATCGAATACATGCATGGCATATCTTTAGAGCTGTTTATCTTTAGAATTGGGATTTCCACAGGCTAGTGGATACACAAGTGCACCGTAAGAAAAAGCAAATGATATAATCATGGAAGCATAGAATAGTGGGCTGTGGGAAGAGAAAATTACACGTAGCTTATAAACTATGCATGATGCAGTATAGGTGTCCGTGATATGAGCAGCTTACAACTGAGTGCAAAGTTCCCTTGTGCTGCCAAACATATAAAAGTTGGGAAACACGCGAGCGAAGGAACACGCGGACAGGAGCAAATTTCCAGCCAAGCCACTACCACCAAATGACCAAATGACCAAAACGCCCCTCAAAGTCACAATAATAACAGTATAACCGGACCACTTTCACTGTAGCTAAGCCAACTGATGCTTTTCAACATAAGTAGATAAAGAGCGGAGGGCTGCGGTGACCAGGAGGTTTTCGTCGTCCTCTCACGTGCCGCGCATGTGATTGAGAAAGTTGTTTTCTTCGCGCATCGCGCGCCTCTTCTCCTCTGACGGTACCCCATGTGCACTGTGTTAGGGTGTTCTATGCGTGTTCTGCTGCTAGGGTTCTCTCTCACTCTTTTCTCCTCAGAACGCCGCCACTTCTATTTTGTTTCCTCCTTTTCAGAACATTTTAGCTCTCCTTCATTCTCTTTTCTATTTCTCTGAAAATTTTCATTTTTCTCCTCTGATCTCCTCTCTCTTCTCTCCACCAGCCCTTGATCAAACCCTGTAAACGAAAGACCGCCGTCTTTGTCTTGCTTTTCTGGTTGCAATTGGAGAACTAATGTGGTTTTTTTTTTATTTCTTGCCTTTTATTTTCCGGTCTAAGATAGAACCAAAAGTGAAGCATTGACTGCTGCTTCCTCTCTATTGTTTCAGGTACTACCTCGGTTCTTCCGCTACTTTCCTTTCATTAGTGATTTTTTTTCTCTTCTATCTGGTTGCGTCGATGTTTTGTCTTGTTTTTTCTGGAATGCAGCTAGAGTATAGATCTGTGGTGCTTTCGATTTCTGGACTCTTATTTTTCGTTTGAGATAGAGCTGCTAACAGTGAAGCATCTTATGTCCTTTAAAGTACTGCCTTCATTATTTTGTTATTTTCCTTCATATTTTCCTTCATGTTTGAAAGAGCCTCCGTGTTTGAATATAGCTATATTTGTCCCTTAGCTCTTATTTTTGAGGCTCTTTCTGAGGCTCTTCATCAAATACCACTATTCAAAAAGAGCCTCCATTTTTTAGCTATAAAAGCTTCGTTTTCTCTTATCACTGTTTCACATCTGCCTAGCAAGTGTTTGATAATTGTTCTGTGTCAGGGTTTACTTCCCTGGCAGGAAAAGCTGCAGCGAAATCTGTGGTGAAGTCAGTTGGCGAGAGAGAGGGGAGGAGGGGGAGGAAGGTTCGATCCACTAAACTTGAAAAGGTTCGATCCTCTACCGAAATTTTTTTGGCTGCTTTTCAAGTTTATTATTGCTAATTAATTGGATTACTGGAATGGACAGGTTGTTGCAGTTAAGCAATTGGATAGAAATGGGCTTTAGGGTAACCGGAAAATTTTGTTTGAGGTTCTTATGTTCAGTCTTTTATATCACTCTAACCTTGTAAATTTAATTGGTTACTGTGCTAATAGGGACCAGAGGCTACTTGTCTATTAGTTCATGCCCTTGGGATCACTGGAAGATCATCTTCATGGTATCATTTCAGGCATTCTTGTTCATTATCTTGTCAATTATTTGCGGTTTAGTTATTGCATGTTCATCAGGAAGTCCATTCCATTTTTATGTTGAATTTACATGTTTACTGAAATTTACAAACTGCATAAACTTTCTTAAGGAAGGCATGATGACTCTGTAAGTTTTGTTAGAAAGTTAATTGGGTTTTTTATACTTAAACTAACTTTTATGTTGATTGCTCTTTCTTTACAATAATGCTATTTATAAGGAAAATAAAATGCAGAACTGATGAAGCCTCAAGGACAGAGCTTAGGCTCAAACTTGCTTATTCTAGGTATGGGGGTTCGTTTCAGGAAAAGGGTAAAGGTGGGATTGGGGGCATATAATTGGCATAGTATGGTGAATGGATGGTTTGGTGTTTTGAATAGTGGTGGTTGGTATTGTATCATGTTATGCCTTTACTCCACATTCTGTTGTTTGTGGTCGATGAAGAGCTTGCTTGTTCAGATGGTACTGCCTCAAGTATTAATGCATTTGTTCACTTAGTAAGAGTGGGTTCCTCAGCTGATTACAATGTTAAGGGATCTTGTGCTTTAATTGGATTCCTGAAAGTCTGTCTCTCTGTTTTCCTGCATTTGGTTACATTCAGGCTACGAGAGAGTTTCAGTTGAATGATTTTAAGTCTTATCACTTCTCCACCCAATGCTGTAAGTGAGGATTAACATTGTCAATAGCTATCAACAACCTGAAAATGTTGAGCACAAGCATGAAATTTATTTGCACCACCAAATGCCTTTACACACCTTGCATGTGAAAATGACTCATTGTTATGATTCTCTTAATTGTAGTTTAATAACTTGACTTCTTTTGTGGAAAGCCAAAACGAAAGTCATGCCATTTAGTTGATTTATGTTTGTGTCAAGCATCCAGTAGAGCATTCCTCTTTCTTAATCTTTGAATGAATTTTGGGTTCTTAGACTCTTATATTAGTTTTACAATGGGGGAATAAATTTTGCATTTAGCAAATCTTAATATGTGTGCTTATACTTTGAACAAATTTTGCTCTCAATATTAATGTGTGTGCCTATGATTTTTCTCAACTTTGGATAATGTTCTAATTTTATTGTCATTCGATGCTTCTTCATTGGGTTTATGTTAGAGTACTGTTCTGGTAGCTATCGCAAAACATAATCTGTTGCATCCTTGTAAACCGTTTTAACGGTTCTTTTGCAGATCTTCCACCTGATAAAGAATCATTAGATTGGAATACAAGAATGAAGATAGCAGCAAGTTTGGCTATAGGTTTGGAGTATGTATCTTCATGATAAGACAAATCCTCGTGTCATTCCTGGAACTTATAACTGGACAGGTACTTTTTTCTCCTTTTTTCTGGAGCATTGATTTAATGTGTTCAATTTGTTTTTATTTATAAAGTTTAAACTGCCAAGTTACCTTGAGGGATATTTTGTAATTATGAATTTGTCTATAGTACTGGAAGCCAGTAATACGTTATTTCACTTTTTATTGGCTGAAAAAATATGAAAGTGATCTATTTGGAAAAATTAGGATAGATCCTAATGAGACCCTTGTGAAACTATGGTGGAAATTGTTTCTTTTTGAAAATTTTTAACTCATAAGGAAAGTGATAGGGTAATTGGTGTAAAAGATATGATTTGGAAGGTGTATATTTGTTAATGAATCTTAATAAGATGAAGCTTTAGGATTCTGATAACACGTGCACAGATTTACCACCCAATCCTTTTCCCTCCTCCTCTCCAACCATATTAGAAGAATTTACACAGAAAACAGGAAGTACAGAAAGCAAAATTCAAGAAAATGTCAGTGGTATCATCATCATCCTTCCCATGCATCAAACTCAGAATCCCATCATCACCTACCTCCTCTCCATCGTCTCCCTCATCTTCGTCTTCATTCTCATCTTCATCTTTTAGATTTTCTACAGCTAAGCCCTCAATGTTTACCATAAGGAGTTCGCAGGCTGATGGGCCTATTAGAAGACCAGTGGCTCCTCCTCCTACACCTGTAAAACCAACTCTACCATCCCCTCCACCTTCACCCCCTGCTGCTGCTTCACCTCCGCCAACACCTACTTCCTCTCCCAAACCTATGGTTGTGGCTGCTGTGGAAGATAAGAATGTCATTACCCTGGAGTTTCAAAGGCAAAAGGCTATGGAACTTCTAGAATACTTTAAGCAGAAGAAACTTGAAGAAGCAGATCAAGGTCCCTTTTTTGATTTTCAAGAATGAGATTGCAAATGGCAGACGGGCGATGTTTGGTTTTACTGTTGGGATATTAACAGAATATGCAAGTGGTTCTGACTTAGTAGATCAAGTTAAGGTTCTGCTGTCCAATTTTGGAATTGTTGATCTGGAATGATTCTTCAATGGAGTACTATAAGGCCACCGCTTCAGCCCCTCTTTACTGTTATGTACACATAGTTGATGTTCCCTTGTAACTACTTCTTGGCACAATTTGTTCCACATTCGTTTTGCTCAAGTCACTCGATTCCAGAATATTGCATCTATTGAACCTTTTGAGTTTACCCATAATATACAAGTCATGGTTTCCCAAAAAAAAAAATTAATAAGATGAAGCTTTTGAAACAAGTCTAAGGGATAACCCTGAATCCTGTGAAACACTTTTTTATCTTCTTGTGCTCTTGTGTATTTATTTTTAATTAAGAAACTAATGTGTATGAAGGTTGAATGCTTAAATGGGTTTGAAGGTTTTAGAGTTTTTGTTGTGACTATTTGGGTTGATTTTCTAAATTTTAATGTTTGGATTTTTGGTTGGTGGCAGCTGAGACTTATGAGTTTGTTTCATGAGGAAGAATTACTTGGATTAGGTTTGTCTCTTTCTTTATTTCTTCTCTGTCTGAACAATCTATTCCAATGCTTCCCTATTCAGTTAACTTCGTGTTTTATTTTTAAAACTTGTGTTGCCTTTCTTTCTATTGTAGTTATGTAATAATTATAGAGTTGTAGATAGTCTTTTTGCCCTACAAATGCTTATTTGATGGCTCCAAGTAGCTTCAAGAACAACACTTAAGCCTCCACGGGTTATGCATAAAAAATGCTAAATTTGAAAATTAATATGGTTATGCATGTAGTCTTCTATTCCATACTTCTATTTTATCTAGAATACCTAGAACATTATTTAACCTTTTTTCTGTTCTTTTTTGTTATATATAGCTTTCTGTAATATGCTTGTTTTCTTTATTTCATTAATTTGGTGATGAGAAAATTTGTGAGAAGGACCCTTACTTCTGGGTGGGTTGCTTATGTTTTTTCCTGAGATTTTAGTAGCCTGGCTTCTCTAAAAATCAATTGAAATTAATGTAGTGACTGTAATTCTTGTACGGGAGATCTTTCTTTGTTTCTCTTCCAACGATACCTATTCAAATGTTTTAAGCATTGTTGTCACTTGGCTGATATTTTCCTTTTTCTTTGTTTGAGCTTATGGTTTTTATAAATTGAGAAGCATAACTTTGATATTTTTTTTGTTCTATTTTCTCTATGTTTTGAAGTCATGTGGTTGGGGTTTGTTGAAGGGAAATTGCTAATGAAGATTGCTCACATTCATGAGAAGATTAGTCGCTTTACTCAACTGGTAGTTTTGCTCTACCTTGTCTTTTCATGAAAAAATCAGTTGATAGGAAAAGTAAAATGTGGAGAGTCCAAATTTTCGAAAGAACTAAAAAATATATAAACAGTCCTATTCGCTTAGGCATGATGTGATTCTAGAAGTAAAAGTTTGAAAGATTACCTTTCTTTATTGCAAGTAATTATGCTATGCCTGGTTTCAGTCAGTTTGAATATAAATTCTGTGCTGGGTTTCATTTTTGCTTGATGAAGGTGTCTAAGCTGCTGGAATCAGAGAAGTTGATACTGAAGGATCTTAATCATGAATTTGAAGAAAAATTAATTCTCTGAGTCATTAAAAAAATAGTTATTAGGTTTTCAAGATCAGGTTGTAGCAACTTTTTATTTTTTGAAGCATATATGTCTACATAATATACAAGGAACATATGGATAAGTGGGAGAAGGAGATTCAAGAACTACGGTTGCTTGGTGCATCAAATGAGAAGGCTAATGCTATTTTTCACAATGCTGGATATCTACTTCAGAATGTTCCTGATCAATCTTGGAGGTAAATTCTGGCATCACTTTGTCTATAAAAAGGAACACATTAATTGGATGAAATTAATAGCTTCTTATTAACATTGGCATCTTTTGAGCTGCAAAATTGTAATTAAGAACTTAGAAAAAGTGTTTGAGGTTGTTGGCTGCAACATGATGATCTTGACATCAATATACAGAAGAATGTTAATTTTGGGCAGTATCTTCTTGTTGTTTTTCTCTTTTTAACAGATATAGCTGATACCAATATCAAATGATGTATTCGGACTTGTGGGATTGACGAATCCGTAAAGGATGAAAGTTTTACAAATTAGCTTTGCCATCTTCTGTTTAACATGATACAATGCCAATCACCACTATTCAAAACACCAAACTCTCCATTCACCATTCAAAACACCAATCACCACTATTCTAAATATATGGAGACCACAACGTATAAAAGCAGATTTTTGACCATTTAGAAACAGCTTATATCAGTTGCTTCTGGTGTATCATCTGGACTGACTGCCTGTATCTTGTGTAAATGTTTATCCAGAACTTGTGAAATTTGTGGTGCCCCTGCGATGAACATTGCTGGAGAACAAGCAATTGAGGTGAACAATGGCACTGGTATAGCTACTGCAGCATCAACAGCACCTATGGTCTTCTCTGACACCCGAAGTTACTGCCATGGTCGTCGTGTCATGAATTTTCTTCTTGGGTGCATGGTTTTTGCCTTTATAATCTCATGGTTTTTTCACTTTAAAATACTGCCATGAATCCAGAAGAGGAGCAGCATCTGGATTAGAGCACAAGGAGATCTTCGCATGTGTGTAATAGAAATAGGCAGTATAGTTTGCAACAATAGAAGATTTTAAATTGTTTGCTACTGGGATTTTATTTATAGTGTGTAAATTATGCCGAGGACTCGGTACCATTTCTTGCTAATTGTTAGATTATATGCGAGAGATGAAATGATTTGAGGTGTTGTCGTGGTGATTGATGACTTCTTCCTCATTTGGCCACGCACTCCCTGGTGGTATGGTAGCCTGCCTTTTTTTCTTTGGTCAAACGTCAATGTGGCAGTAACCTCTTATCTTACTTTTGCCTTTTCAGATGTCGTGTTTATCTTTAGTTGATTTTTTCAATGTATAAAAGCGATTACAACATTACTATTCAATACAGAAAAAAGGCCTGCTACGCATATTCATACTGATATACAAAAAAAAAAATTGCGTGCCATGCTGGATAAAAGAAGAATGCACCAAAATTTAATCACTTTCTTCCGCACATTTGGCAGGGCATATTGTCTTTAGGTACCTACGCGCATCGCGCGTGTTATACCTCCTAGTAGTATAGTAAAGAAAGATGTGACCGGAGAAAAGTCATGAAGAGTTGTTGTCATTGTGTAAATAACTAATATGATACATCTCTATAAAAATAGAAAATTTGAAATTTTGTCACAAAGTGAAGTATTATTTATATATTCAACACTAGATAAAGGGATAGCACGAGTCACTTTAACATTCCTTGGTGCGAGGCCACGTGGAGAGGTGACAAGCTCTCCAAGGCTGAAAATTCTTGGCAAATGAGTATGCTCATTAGGCTAAAAAAAAGGTATCTATCTTGTATCTATATGTATTAGAGGGTTGGTTTTTGATGAGGAGCCTTTACAAACGTCAGAAATTTGAATCTCTTTTCACCACAATTTTAGATTTATTTAATTTAGTAATTTTTATCGCTTCTTTTTATTCCTTCCCATTTTTCAATTTACATGATCCACTAATCCACAAAATCAAAATTCTAAAATTTTTACTAATGAATAATAACCATCCCTATAAAATCACATATGTGAATCCCAAATTTACCATTGACACTTACTACATGACTGATAGTAATAACTGACTGATAATTTAAGAAACTCACCTCTACGAAAATCACATATCCAAAATTTAGGAGTCCATTTGAATTACAATTTCCACAATTTTACATACCTCATTGTTATAATATATTTTACTCTTATAATCATTCACAAGACTGACGATCACTAATCTATTTTCATTTCTCACCCATACAAATCAAATACAGTGAAAAAAAAGACTACATATCATACTCTCACCATGGACGAATCTCACCCACAAGCATTTCAATCAGTGACGGAGTTAGGATTTTTTTCCTGGGGTGCACCAAATTTTTCCTAACAAAACTATCTTAACATGTTATGTTCAAAATAATTTCCAACTATTTAAATATACAACATCTGAAAACATCAAATATCAACTTTAATTATAAAGGTATAAATAAATAAATAAATTTTTTTGAAGAAAAAAAATAATTCAAGAGTGGTTAATTCTTATATATATAAAAAGGTTTTTGATGGGGAGCCTTCACAAGCATCAGAAATCTGAATCTCTTTTTACTAAAATTTTAGATTTATTTTAATTCAGTAATTCTTATCGCTTCTCCTTATCCTTTCCACTTTTCAATTTATGTGACCCACTAACCCATAAAATCAAAATTTCAAAATTTTAACTAATGGATAATAAACTCTCCTACAAAATCACATATACAAATCTCAAATTTACCACTGACATTTACCACATGATTAATAATAACTGACTGATAATTTAAGAAACTCATCGCTATGAAAATCACATATCCAAAAGGGGTTATTTTCACTTTATCCCCTTAATGTTATATTTTAGTTACTTTACCTCTGAGACTAACTGTCAAACTTAACGGAATTTGTTAATTAAAGTGAAAAGACATGTTTAACACTTAAAATTATTATCACTTTACTCCCATAAACTATTGTATCATTATCAATTTACCCCATTGAGTTTGTTTTCAGACAATTTATCCCATTGTTAGATCAACTTAGCAAGTTAAAAAACTTTAGAAGAAATTACTCTCCTCTTTGTATAATAAAAAAATAAAAAAATTTAGAGTGGCTCTTCTTCTTTTTAGTGTCAAGAAAACAAAAAGTCAAAATATTAATCTCTTTTTTTTTTGACAATCTTATTAATATTAAAAAAATAGAAAGATTAAGAGAGAGAGAGAGAGAGAGAGAGAGCTCAATTCTTTTTCAAAAAAATACAAATAAGAAAGAATTAAATATTTTTATTATTTTACTTTCCTGTTTACCACTCAATTCCAATTCTAATCCTCAATAGTAATGTGATAATGTTAGACTCTTCTTTATTTTTTTCTTTGGAAAATCTAATTTTCTGTCTCCTTCTTTCCTATATCTTTTTCTTTTCCTAGTATTAATAAGTGTGATGTAGACACCAAATTTTGATTATTTTTAAATTTCATCTTTATCATTTATTATTTATTATTATTATTATTATTATTATTATTATTTTTAATTTAATTGGGTTAGATTCATCATTTTTATTTTTGTAAGATGATAAAAGTGGCCTTAATTCTCTTAAATTTGGTTTGAAAATTGTTAATTTATCATTCATTGATTTTTGAAGAAAAATGAAAATGGCAAAATAGGTGGAAGTGGGCATGTTGAACAAGTGTACACAACAATCATTAGACAAGTGTCTAAAGAATTATAGGACAAGTGTATAGGGGTAGGTGTCAAACACACTTGGTGGAGGCCAAGGGGAGGCTGACGGCCAAAAAGAGAGAAAAAACAGGGAGGGGGCTTCGGAGGAAAGGGGAGAGGAAAAACGAAATCGAAAAAGGAGGGGAGAGTAGGGAAAAATCTGGGGAGAGTCTGTGGGCTAAGAAAAACAGCGGAGAGATAGCGGAAAAAAGGAGAAAAAGAACGGCTGGGGGGAAGGCTAAAAATCTGAAAAGAGAAGAAGGCTTCGGCTGGGAGAAGCTAGAGTGGAAAAAATAGAAAAGGGAGAACGGCTGCGGTTGAGGGCCGAGAGAGTGGAGAGCCGAGGAGGAAAAATCAGAAAAGGAGGAGAAAAATCAAGGGCGGCGGATGAAGGGAAAAGCTGGGAAAATTAGAAACAGAGAAAGAGAGGATAGCAGCGGACAAAGAGCTTGCGACTGAGGAAGCAGAGCAGCTGGAACTGCCGTTCGCGGGAAGCTGTTGCCGCCCTCTTCCGTCACGCGCGACGCCAGCTTCATCGCTTCTTCCATCATAGTTCAAGCTCCGCCCTCTGCCGGCACAAACAAGTGGCCAACCGCCCGCCCAAGCAACCAAATCCGACATCAGCACCCGCAAAATTTTTACCAAGAAACAAACGGTAAGCCACCATCATCCTTCAAATTTCAGTTTTCATGTAAGTTTTCGAAGCGTGTTTTATTTTTCACGTTGTGGCTTGTAGCCATTTCTCTGTTGAATTATTCACTAATTGGAAGTATGTATGCTTTGAATGTCGATTGGACTGGAGTTTTCTTGCATTTGATGAAATTTTGGGTGCTGATTCATGTCAATTGGGCGAGAAATTGGTGAAGTTTTTTAATGGCTGTTTGTTGTTCGACAGAATGCTTCAATGAAAGTTCGGCCTGAAGAATGGATTAATTTCTGATTTATATACGTTCGACTGTTTCATGCTTGTCAAAATAATTGATTCGAATGGGTTTGTTTGGGCGTCCGTTTGTTTTGGCAATCTGCTCCGCTTCTCGTTTGTTTGGTGTTCCTCTTGTATGGATTTAAATTCATGACATAAAATGGCGTGCGAGGGGATTCATGTGAGAGTCATTTGTTTTGCTTTTGTTTTGTTTTGTTGATTGGAGTCCGAAGTTGAATTTTCTGGTTGCAAAGAGGAATGAAATAGCAGCGAACGTTGAGCCAATTTGGGAAGAAGAGGATTGCTTGATTAAATTCATGATTCCAGTCCCTCAATTTCCCTTTCCATTATGATTTAACCCCAGAATTTTAGGACTTCATAATTTTTCCTCCAACACCTTCATAAGTCCTTCAATTAGGTCCCTGCTCTTGTTGCATTTTAACCCCTCAGCTTCCCCTTGTTCTGATATGACCCGAAAAGTGGAAAAAGTGCGTTTGTTTCTCCCTTCTAGATTTAAATCATCTTCTAATAAGCATGAATAGTCCTTTTACTAGATTAATTCTTGTTTGTAGGTTCTAATTGTGGTTCAATAATTTATTTTGATTTTATCATGTTGGGTTTAATGAAACAAGTGCCTTGGGCTAAGAGGTTATTTTTGTTTGGGTTTAAGAAAGTCGTTTTAGTTTATTTTGTTTGGTTTTTTGGTTCGGGCTAGAGGGTCAAGGCCCATCTTTTTGGTTGGCTAATGTTTGGGTCAAAATATTATACTAGCCCACTTGTTTTCCTTGGACTTTCGATTGGGTCAAGTTATCTTGGCCCAAGAAAGGTGAAGATGGCCCATTCCCTTTTTGTTTTGGATTTTCGGTTGGGCTTGTAAGGCTTTGGCCCAAACAAATAAAGGAAATGGCCCAATGGCTTGGTCCATTAAGAAACCAGAAAACGATTTTGCAAATCAGTCCCTGAATTTCTCCCTAATTGTATTGTGGCCCTGGACATTTTCAACTTCTTTTAATTCGGTCCTTGCTTTAATTGCAAATAGGTCCCTGAACTTTATTTTTCTTTAATTTTGACCTCCAAACTTTGTCAATCTTTGCAATCAGGTCCTTTCTTCTCTTGACTTCTTAAATGTGAATTGTCGACATGATTTAATTGATTCAAATTCATGCTTATTTTTTATCCTTTGTGATTATTTGCCAAATAAATTGGTACCTTGACCTTTTTATTGTTTTGAAGCTAATATCTCATTTACTCGATTTCCGTTGCGAGGGAGGTAACTTCTATATTCTTGAGTTTATTTTTTCCTACGTGCTCCTACGTGTTATGTGAATATGCCTGTCTACTTTGCTTTCTTTGCCTTTCTTTAATTCTTTTCATTTTTTTACTTACTTTTGCTTTTTATTTAAGTTATTCATTATGGGGTATGTGTACACCTCTTGGCTTGTAATAGTTAGGGATTTAATTATTTTATTCTTTTCCCCCTTTTAGATTGTAGTGGGGTCTCCCTAATGTAATAGATAGGGTTTGGAGGAACATTCAATGAAGACCTATCGAAGTCATGTGCCTAGCTAGCAAATGTAATAGTTAGGGCTTTAATTGTCTTATGTGTCTTGCATGCTTAGTTAC